ATCTCTCTCTCTCTCTCTCTCTCTCTCTCTCTCTCTCTCTCTCTTACACACACATCTTCACTACTTGGAAATGCATTTTGCGAAAGAGATGTTTCTATAAAAGCTAATCCCCCGCCTCCCCTCCCCCCGCACACACACTCCAGCCTTCTTTGTCCCGCCCCCTCCATCAAGTGCTGGGTGTTGTCAACATAACATTTTCTGATTTACCGGGTTGCTAAAAATGAAGGTAACATGAATAAACCAATGACAGAAACTAAAATAAATTGTAATGCAGCTTACCTTTTTTTAATTTTTTTTTTTTTACTACAACGGAGTCTATGGGATTTAGCTCTAGCAAAACTGTCAATTATTGGTTCGTAATCCAATTTTCGCGCTTGACTGGCCTCTATGGCCAAATTCCAAGACTTGTGAGTCTGTCTTGACACATTGTGGGCCACAAAATGTTTTTCACCCGAGAAAGGGCACTGAAGGAACGTTCAGCTTGCGCATCTGCGAAAGGCAAGGTGCAGAAGATACTCAACATGATTACAACGTTTGGAAACAAAGCATCTAGTTTCAGGGAATGAAGTCTGTTCAGCAACTGAAGAGGCGGCAGGACATTTTCTCCAATGTTCGCTGAATGAATCACTTTCAAATGTTCCAACTCTTGCGCAAGGTCTGCTGATGCATCCACTGCATATTCCGAGTGCAATTTGTTTGCAAGATCACGAATAACGCCGACTTCCTCTTGGAAATATTTCCTTAAAACACTAAATAACGAATTGAGTTTTGTCACTGCATCATACCTTGTCGTCAAGAAGGCAGTCAATGAGGACATAAAAAACTTCATGATTGAATTTGTTCTCGGGATTTTGGTAGTCTGTTACATCTTCTGTCTCGTCTGCAAAAAGTTTCCTTTTCTTTTGTCGTTTTGCTGTTTCGGCGAATGCTTGCTCAGTCTCATAGTTATCTGTTACTAATTTGGACTCACTCAAGATTGCGTCCCATTCATCTCGTAAGCTTTTCACATCTTTAACCGGACTATTGATATTTGCCACCTCAACGTCAAGCGTCACATCTCGTGCTTGAAGCACTCTATTTCTGTGATCGACTGCAGTGAGGATTTTGAGCCAAACAGATGCCATTATCACACATTCAAATGATGCAAAGTACT